GACAGAGGTATGGAGCATTTCTATGAAGAAGGCTTTGACAAGAAAAGGGGGGTTTCATTCAATCAACAGCACAAATGGGACATGGAACAGTTTTCTATTAGTCAGACATGAAAAGGGACTCAGAGTATCTAGGAAAAATGGAAATTTCCCAAGAAAAACATGGTCATGTCATTAAAAGCAGGTTATGGATGTGGCATGGTTATGAACTGGAAGAGAAGGGCTGGAAGGTGTGTAAGGAAAGATAAAGCATTGGCTTTTACTTCCTGAGCAGTCTTCCTTAGTAACAAAGAAGAAGATATATTTTTGAAGGAAGAAATACAGTATTCAGATCTGCAATGAATAATATTTATGTATTCCTAATGGTTTTAGTGCTATTTATTTATTTTTGGAATTAATTTATAGGTGATAGCTAACTACTAAATTATAAATACAGAATAAAAATAAACATTATAATGGGCTGGGGATTTAGCTCAGTGGTTCCACTGCCTGCCTCACAAGCACAAGGTCCTGAGTTTGATCCCCAGTACCAAAAAAACAAAACAAAACAATAAATAAATAAATGTTAGAATCCAAATGATCAGGGAAAATTAGAAAATAAACCTGTGATTAATTAGTGCCAACATGGGGCCACCAATTTTTGTCAATATGATCTTATGAAAACTGAAGTGAAAAGCATGCATTCTAGTTTTGGCTTTACCAAGAACTCACTTTGACCAAGTCATTTCCTCTCTTGGGCCTCAGCTTCCTTATCAGTAAGATGGAGGCTTGAGCTAGACAATCTAGGTTTTCAACTCTAACTTGCTAATATTCTAATTTGAACTTCATTTATTTCACATTTTGATAAAATTCCTCCTGGCAGAATAAGATACCCTATCTGTACCTGTGCTTTTGTCCTAGGTATTTGTACATGACCAGCCTGTCACCATGATCCATGGGGTTAGACGTGGCTCTGTGGGTTAGAAGCAGCAGTCCCTTCCAACAGAGAGGACCACAGGCTTAGGGCAATGTGGAAGGCAGTGAAGGACCCAGCTCTGTCAATACTGACTGCTGAGGCCCTTAGGATTCATGTTTCAGGATTGGTCAACTGAAGCACAATGAAGGTGGTTGTGAGGATAGAACCCAGGGTTGAGTTCCAGTGATGACAGGTATGAGATGGGGTGGCTACAGCATTCTGTATGGAGAAAGGACACTTTCTGAAGGAGGAGAAAAAGAGAAGGGTTTACTCAACCTCCAGAGAAATGGGGCCCAGCCTCTGGTGGAAAGAAGTGACAGTACAGAGTTGTGCCTGCTGGGCACTACAAGGAGCAGAGAGGCTCACCCTTGCTGTCTGTGGCTTGTGCATTAGTGTTTAGGGTTTCCATAACAAAGCATCACAATCTGGGAGGCTTATGCAATAGAAATTTAGTCGCTCACAGTTTTAGAGGCTAGAACCCTGAGATCAAGGTGTTGGCAGGGTTGCTTCCCTCTGAGGCTATGAGAGAGTGTGTTCCAAGCCTCTCTCCTGGCTTCTGGTGATTTCTTGGCATTCTGGTGTTGCTTAACTTGCAGAAGCATTACCCTGATTTCTGCCTTCATATTCCTATGGCATTCTCCCAGAGTATCTGTATCTGTACCCAAATTTCTCCCTTTGTATAATGATATCAGCCATATTGGGTTAGAGCCCTATCCTACTCCACTATGACCACCTCTTAACTAATTATATCTGGAATGACCTTACTTCCAGAAAAGGTGCTGGGAGTAAGTACTTCAAAGAATAAATTTGGAGGAAAATGCAGTTCAGTGCAGTTCAATACATAATACCTCAAAATTAGACGGAAGCCCCAAATCCTTCCTAATCTACAGCACAAGAACTGTTGGAGCAATGAGTGTTAGGACCAGCCAGGAAACATGGCTTCCACTAGTGCCCCACCATGTAGGTAATGAATAGTAGGAAGTAGATGATTAAAGGGTACAAATGGGTATGCACAGCTGGAGTGTGTGCCAATAGAGACACAAAATAAGGAGAGGGATTTTGAACTGCTGGGAGGTAATTGCTGATGGGACATACCAGTCACATGAGAGTACCGACTCTCCCTTCTTGTTAGTTATTACTCTTAACAGTGCTATATAAAAAACTTCCCAAGTTATATTTATTTTCCTCACTTAGTGTTCTGTAGGTTGAAGGAGAAGGGGGCTTTCTTAGTTTGGAACCAGTAGCTACTGAAAGCATACCCTTTCTGTAGTGGACAGTGGACAGCAGAAGCACAAGAGGCCAGGACAAACCATATCACCAAGCTAATGCTTCTGTTTTGCTTACATCACATGGGTTGGCACCTCAGTGGCCACAGCAGGTGATCTGGTCCAAGCCAAATGTCCTAGGATCAGGCATGTATGGGAGGTGCTATAGTATTTTTTTTTGGTATTAAATTCTTTTATTGGTACATTGTAGGTATACAACACAATTGCATTTCTCATTGGGAATTGTACCTTTACATAATGCATCTTGGTTCTTATTTTTTCCCCATTCCTAGCCCTCCCTTCACGCCCTCCACCCTTCCCTATTTACAAAGACTTTATTTCCATTTTTTCCATTTCTCATCATTTTGGGAGGTGCTATAGTATTGAAGCAAAGAAAGGTTAAGTAAAGAGGTAGAAAAAATATCTAATCTATAAAACTTCAGCTTTTGTTTCTTTTCTTAAATGACAAAAACCATGCCCTTTGGTAAACAGTCAGAAAATACATAAAAGAAAAAGTTTCAGTAGTATTTTCATACATTCTTTCATTCGCTGTTGTAGTGACCCTTAAAAGGAACCCTGGCCCCATGCTGTCCTGCAGTTGCTCCCTCCAGGCCTGGAAAATCAGAGTATGCATATTAGACTTGAGAAGGAGAAAGCATCTCTGCGTTAGAATGAAAAGGAAAAGCAAGATTCAATTTTCTGGAATGCTAGAACACGACCAGCTACATGAAACTCAATAAGAAGACATAAAATATCCCACATTTAGGTGAGAAAAAAACTGTATAAGATAGAGAGATGAAAACTTAATAACACTTCATGTGAGAAAAATCTGGGTGTTCGAATCTATCATAAATAAAACAGGAGCCAATCACAGGGCTGCTTTCACAGATGTATCCAAGCTAAGAGTGGAACATGTATATATTATATTATATATGCACCTCTATGCATGTGTGTGGGTTAATTATTTTAAATACACAACACATTTTTGGAGAGATATAAGAAAGTGCTGACAGTGGTTATCTTAATGTGAAAGAAGGGTATTGGAGAGGGATTCTTTACTTTCCGTTTTATGTCTTTTCATGTATATGAATTTTTATCTAGTGTATATTATTGTTATATTGTAAATATTGATTAAATTGAAAGAAAATGTATGAGAGGTGATAGAAATACTGTGGGAGCTAGATAAAGCTGTGAAGATTTAGGGGCACACTGTTCTTTATTATTTATTACAATAACAATATGACAGCATAGGAGAATGTTCAATATACATCCTCATAGCTGGAGTCACAGTATATACACACTTTTGTAGCTGTGGTTTTATAATTTGATTTGAGCAATAGTTAGGTGCACAGGCTTTGAAATTAAACTGTCTATGCTCTAGCTATATGATCTTAAGAAAGAAAGTTACTCTCTTTGAGCCTTGTTCACCACTTTTATAATGGAAGTGACAATGCCATCTGCTTTGTGGGGTAATTGTGATGACTCAAGAGGGGAATCACTAATATGCATTGAACAGAGTCCAGGGTGTAGCTGATGCTCTAGCTAATCTTAATTATTAGCTAACTGACATTTAAGCTATTATTAGCATTTCCCCCAGTGTCTATGTAGTTTATCATTTCTATGCATAATACCTCATTGCCTGGATATGTCATAATTTAATTAATCATTCTCCTATTGTTTGACATAGAGGTTACATATAAACATATGTGCGTGTATGTGTGTGTGTGTGAGAGACACAGAAAGAGAGAGTGGGGGAGAGGGAGCAAGAGAGGGAGGGAGAGAGAGAAAGAGAACTGCTATGAAGATGCTACAAAACAGTACTTCTCAAGTTTTAATGTATGTCCGTATAAATCACCCAAGGATCCTTTTACAGTGCAGATTCTAATTTAGGAAGTCTAGGAGGGCCTGAGAGCCTGCATTTCTAGCAAGTTCCCAGTGATGCTAATCCTATAGGTCCATGGACTCAGTGTTAAGAAACCAAGTATAAACTAGACAGTGAAAACAGGAGGATTAAGAGGAGGTTAGTCACAGTTGCAAGAAAAACCCTGGGTAATTTTGCTGGATAAAAAGAGAGGTTGGTTCTGTTAAATGCCTTGAAATATTTGGAACACTGCCACATTACTGAAAAGTCTGATTCTCTCAAGAACTTCAGAATTTACATTAGTGGGTAGAAATTCTAAGGAGGCACACTTCTGTGGATGAAAAAAAGAACTTCCTTATAGGTCATATTTATTGCCACAGCTCTCAGAGTTTATGAACTAGCAGTAGTGGTTTGGGTAGCTACCATTGTGGCAGAGCTAGCACCCTTCAGCAAAGCAAGGGAATATAGAATAAAATGTCCCCAATGTACAGTGGCAGCTTGAAGGGAATTTTCTAAGAATGTGCATCAACAAGAAATGGGCTTCTGAACGTTGTCTAAGAGGAGCCCAAGCTCCCACTATATCCTTCATGCCCCAGCAGGGACTTGCTGGGCACTTACTCCCCTGTCCTGAGAGCTTGTGATGAGAGCCTGTCTGGTAGCTAGACCATTCTGCCTGCTCGTTCTTTACAGTGCCAGACTCTTGCAGTCTGCCTGAAGTCACACTGCTTTCTAACTCCAGTTTTTTGGCTCTTGGTCTCTCTAAGAACTTGCAGCCTGACTGCCAAGGCAGCAGAATTCAACAACAGATTTTTGCTCACCATGTGGCCAGGAAGGATCTGGGCATGTCCTTCAATTGAATGTAGACATTCCATCCTCCTACTGGCAGAAATCAGCAGCACCTAAGTTCTCTCCTCTTCTCGAGTGGTGGGCCGGGCTCTCCACCCACTGAGCAGGAACAGCTGTATATCTGTGGGAAAGGAAGAGCACCAGATTTCCTGTCCCAGTTCTGCTTGGAATCTGAGTACTACCAGAGTCCTTAGACTTCTTCTGAAGGGCAAAAGAAAGTGGAAGCACACAGTGGGTACCTAGTGGGATTCCAGGACAGCCCAGGCTCTGTGTGGACCATGGCTAATGGCCCCAACAGGGGAGAAGCCATTCTAGAACCTTAGTATCTGGGCTGGGGCCATGGGATCATAAGAGACACCCTCTTACTATTGATGTCCGGCAACGGGGTCACTCTCTCCAATCCCAGAACCATCTCCTTCTTTCCCAACCCAGCATAAAACCTACCAGGCAGAGCCTTTTCTTCTATTGGTCATTTTTTTTGTACATGAGAAACTAGATACAAGATTGAACTGTTTTTACTCCTTTCTGATAATGAATGTTGGAGGAGAGGTTCCCACATCATTAAATTCTCCAACTCTGAGGACACAGACTGAGCATTCTACAATTCACTCAGTTCTGACACTAGCTAGCTGGAGTTAGCACAGGCTCCTTGGGTTAAAGGCTCAGTCCTACATGACTGCCCTCACTTCCCCACTTCAGATGCCAGCCACTGGTTCCAGGTCACCACCTGTACTTCTAGCTGTAAATTCTGACAGTTTCAAAATTTCTGATGTAGTTTTAATACTTTGCTAGAACACTTCACAGAATTCAGGAAGCCTCTTTCTTATAATTGTGACTTACTATAAGGGCCATAACTCAGGAACAAGGGGAAATAATACATAGGGAAGGCATGGGAAAAGGTGCAAAGCTTTTGTACTCTCTCCAGACACCCACCCTCCTGCCCAGAATGTGGAAGTTTTCATCCATCTGGAAGAACACAGACCGTATTTTTAGGTGTTTTTAAGGAGATTACATTATGTAGTCATAATCGATTAAATTATTGGTTGTCTATGATTAAGTTAACCCCCTACCCCTCCCTGCTCCCTTAGGGTCATAGAGGTGAGGCTGAAAGTTCTAACCTTCTAATCTAACAACCAGGCCCCATCCAGAAACTAGGGATTTCCAGTCACTGGTCATCTCATTAGCATACATACTCTAGAGGTCCCGAGAATTTTAAGAGTTTTGTGCCAGGAAATGGGACAAAGTCCAGATATTTACTTCTGATAATATCACAAAGATTAGTGAGATGCTTTGTTGAATTAGGAATCAAGACACATGTCCTAAGAAGCGCACCCCATACCCTGCCTTTTTCCTAGGTGGGGAGCTTCACTGGCCTGTCTGTCACTACTCATCTTCTGACCTGGTGATAAGTCTCTGAGGGCAGATACCATCCTCTTTTTGTGTATCCTCAGAGCCTGGCTTCATAAATCACACAGGGCCTGCTTTCCGTAAACACGTGTGGAGTGACCAAGTCTCTGGAAGAAAAGAAAGACAAACGATGAACAGAAATGAGAGAAGAGAATGGCAGTGTGGAACTGTCCAGCCCAGAACCACCCACTGCTCATAACAGTAAACCAGTTTATAAGGTGAGCCTTCTTCTTCATTGTGAAAAGTGGTTACCTTCTCTCTCCAGGCCAGAGCATAAGGACATTAAGTAAATGAACTGAAGGTATTTCACGATCATATACTCTATTCTTCTAGTTATGCTGACATGGTCAAAATTTGCACGAACATAAGTGCTAAGCTACTTACCTTGACATAACCAATATTTTTGGAATAAAACATACACTTAGAAATTTGTCTAATGAATGAATGGGAAGCATGAGAATGATATATAATATGAAAATCTTTTCTTCAATTCACTTCTACTAGAGGAAAGAGAAAGTTGTGAGGAGAAAAGAAAAAAGAAAACCAAGAAAGATAGTGATTCCCAGCTGACAATTACTTATTCAGCCTGCAAGAATTCTGAGCTGAATTTGTGTGCTGGACATGACTCTCTATTGGCAAATGGAATTCTGGCTTGAATCTTCGTGGAGGTCACACACAGGTCATTGATGAGGGGTCACCAGCATCCCATTGCAATACCCACTAGTTTGATGCTGAGCCTCTGCTCCAGCCCTCCCTGGCCTTGCATGGATCTGCTTCTCTTTGATTATCTTACAAACACTTACTAGACAATTAAATGCTTAATTTGGATAAAAGAGAAGGTGAGAAAATGTAGTCCACATGCACATCTAATTAGCATTGAGTGTGCTGGGTTGCATAGGCCTGACTTGGTGGCATAAGGAGGATGAAGCTGAGGATGCTAAGTCGATTCCCAGCTGAAACTGGAAGGGAGGTGAGTGAGAGCTTGATCTTCCCACTCTCTGCCTGGGACTGTGTTTTATTGTCTCTCTCCACCCCTCTAACACACACGTTCATTTTATATTTTTGTTTTCCTTAACCAAAAGTTTACAAAACCCTTTAGCTCATGTCATTTCCATGGCCTATTTAAATGTATTATCAAGATATCTTCAAGGAATAGAGCATAAAAGAAAAGGTTGTGCTCACTCTATGCATAACTTGTTGGGTGGCATCTTCCAGAGTGGGGTGGAGTTGATGAAGGGAAGGGTCAAACAATAGGTTACCTAGTGAAATTTCTGGGTCCTAGAAAAATGTTCAGATCTAAACATCTGGCAACTGAAGATGAGCATGCAGGGTAATAAAAGGAAACAGGCTTCCTCCTGAATAAAAACAAAACCCTGTCACTCAAGTCTGGAAATACATTAAATTTAATGGCTATTCTTTCTTGAGAATTTTACTATGTTCCAGGCACTGTGCTAAGAGTTTTACATACATTATCTCAGTTAATTGCTGTAAGCATCCTCTGATGCACATATAAAAATTTTTATTTTACAAATGAGGAGATTAAGGAATAGAGAGATGAAGTAAATTCTGTAACCCACATCTGTCTGTGCATAAAACCCACCCTCATAAAGCACTCCACCACTGCCAGCCTCCTGGAGAGGGTGGATTTCCAAGCAGGAAGGAATAATGGAGGAAGTCCACTGGGATTTTCACCCTAAGGGTCTGCTCTTCTTTGGGGGGCCACTAATCTCCCTGCCACTTTTGCCCCATTGCTTTGGATGATTTAGTGTCCTCTTTCACATTCAAGCCCATACAGAATCTCTGAACATAGCTTATGTGCCTACAACCAGGCCAAAGGCTGAAACAGACTTTACTTGATCCTTAGGATACCATCACACCCTTTCCTAAGATCAGGATTGTTTGACTTGTTTTTAACATTAGGTGCTCTGTAAATGTTTATAACCATAGCATTAGATAATCAAGTCTAAACTAAGGTCAACTTCCTAGTGTCCCTTGTTCTGGCCCTTCCTACTGGCTGGTCTGCATCCTTCTGCTGGACAGCTTCAAAGCACCTCTTAAAACAAGAAGCAAGTGCTTAGGTGGTTTAGCATAAAATATAGTCTCTTCTGAGATATCTAGAGAGACAAGTGGTGTCGCTTCCCAGGTGGCCTAAATGAAGTTGGATTCCAGATGACTAGACAGGCTCAGCACACAGAGACAGGACACAGTCCCATCCAAGTAGATCATGGGGTGGTGTAGACAGCAGGAAGTAGGAGGAGTTCTTCATAATTTCTTCTGAAAGGTAGGACAAGAAGAGGTACAGAGGTAGCATGGAATTCTGCCACCAACAGCTGGGATCCTAGGTCAGGGTGTGGGAAGACAAGCACATGTCCAGCTGTTACAGTGTCCTAAGATGCAGTCAGGGGAGACATTTACCATGAGGTTGGAGCAGCAAAGGCCTGGGGCAGGTGTGTACAGCATTGTGAGGTATCAGTGGCTAGGGCCAAGGATGGAACAGAACCTGTATATGAGGTCAATAGGAGAGGACAAAGACTGAGAACAAGTGAAATCATTTTGAGCAATATCAGGGCTGTAGACACAGACTCAGGCAGGGTGACTGTCTGGAGTTCTTGAAGTAAACCAGGGTCTGCCACAGTTAGGAGCTGGCACCCAAAGATGGTGTTTTAATGCTGAGGATGAGGAAGGTGTCTCCAGGCCAAATAAAGATGAAGGAAGACTGCTGATCCTGGAAAAGGGGAAATGCTTTGTTCTCTAATCCAGGATACATGAGATGGAGCCTGAACCAACTGATGGGCTCTGAGCTACCAAGTCACAGAGCCCAGGCTCCTTCCTGGAGCTGGACATGGCCCCTGAGACTGACAAGGCTGGGCTTGGCTGTGAGGGTTAAGTAGTGCAGCTCTAGGGAAAGGCTGTAGGAGCCAGGATCTGAGCAGACAGCCCAGCTCGTCACTCTCCTTCTGTCTAGTGTGATATCAACTGAAGATCAGCCATCTGTGGAAATCCAATAGACATATAACATGAACATGTCGAGTAAATCAATCTGCAATTGACCTGGAGCAGCCATCTCTGCTTCTCGCCCTAAGCAAGTGCCACTCAGGAACTGGCTGACAGCACACAGCACAATGTCATGACCTTCCAGCCGCCTGTACACTAGGCTCCATGCTACCAGGCTCTTTTTCTTGCAGCTGGAACAGCTTCAGGGTATTATCATGGCCTGACGGTAGTCTGTGCCTCACCAAGGAAATCTTCAGGCTAGAAGCACTGCTAAGCATGCCAAAATGTATCCTCACCAGGCTCACTTACCTCACTGTAAAGAGCAAGCAACTCACCACATGCTCCTCAGGACTGGATGTCTCTGAACCTTCCTCAAAGATCTCTAATTGTTCCTTATCCCTTGGGCAGGAAGCTAGAGGCCTGAGCCCCAGCACTGGTCCTAAGATTGCCTTTCCCCAGCTGCCTGGCCCTAAGCTAATCCTAACACAACCAGCCAAGAAACAAGAAGTCCCTTCTTGTTATTTCCCCAAGGTTTGTGAGCCCTGGCCTGGTCATAGGCTCCTCTTCCCATCAGTCCCTTCCCCAGCTCTGGATCTTTTTGCAACAACCAGTGGAGACTAGTTCTGGAAGGCAAGTCCTATCAATGGTTATAAGTATGGCGAGGACCTGGCACTGTGGTTATAAGTATGGTGAGGACCTGGCATATGGCCTTTCCAGAAGCCACTGTGACAAATTGCTTCTGCACTTTCATCTCAGTTCCTACTGTTCCTCTTTCTTCTGTCTCCAACCCATCCTTAATCCCCCACATCCCCCAAACACAGAAAAAGTTACCTATGGCCAGCTTTACCTCTATCCACCCAAATATTAAGCCTCTTTCATCTGTCATTGGTGTATTTTCAGATACCACTAGTATGAGGCTCTTCACTCATTATTTCAGCCAGAACCACTGGTGGCTGGTGGTTGGCAGACTTAAGGTTAATCATTCATCTTCAGATCCACTCACTTTAGTATTTTTTGTACCTCCACCTATGCAGACCTCATTATGGCATAGTGGGCTATCACAGTGTCAAATGATGGTGCCTACATTAGGCAGAGTTTGGGGAGGCTCTGTAGGCTCCAGTAGTGCCATCTCTGGGCATAGCTAAGGGAAGATAGTGCCTTTCAAAAACTGGTGATCGCAGAAGGAGGCCAGGCCTTTTACCACAGAACAGTGAGCACAATGGGTCCTGGGCCCCATAGTCAGTAGGCTGCCCTTCCTGCTGAGGCTTTGACCATCTCTCAAAGGAAGATAATAGGCAGCTGTGAGTTCTAGCAGCCAGCTCTGGAGACATGGTCAGTTCCTATGTCCCTTCTCCATTCTCACTACAGACACATGGAGCCCACTCTCTCATTTCTTTCTATTTCCAAGCCTTCCCACCAGCTCCAAAGAGAAGAGAATGGTAGATGAGTTGTCTTCAGTTCACAGGTCCTTGGTTTCTTGATGGGTGGCAGGCTTGATTATTGTAGTGCTTATTCGGACTGTCTGCAGCATGATCACAAAGAGGATCACCATCACAGGCCCAGGTCACCCACAGGGCTATTGTCATGTTCTCCAGTGGAAGAAACAATCCTTTGGACATAAAACATCTAGCAGAAAAAAGGGATATCATGAGAGAAATCTGGAGTGATGAAATATTCTATATCCTGACCATACTAATGGACAAATGACTATACATTTGTTAAAACTCATAGACTAGTACACCTGAAAAGGGTTATATACATGTGGAGAGAGACAGAGAGACAGGCAGGCAGAGAGACAGAGAAATACAAAAACAAAGAGACAGACACACAGAGAGAGACAGAGAAAGAGAAGATGCATTCAGTCATTAGTTGAGAAGCAAAACTAGAGGACTAAGGCAGTGCCATCTTTTTGGTTCCTGGATGCATGTATTTGAAATCTAAGAGAAACAACATATGGAAGACATATTGCAGGATAGTGCTCACCTCTTCCAGAGTACCTGCTTCCAGTTTGTATCAAAATGAAGTCTTCAACAAGCCATTTCTGCTGTCTATTCTGCTTCTAAGTGATGGAGGGTACAAGCTAGGGGCTTCTAGTAAATTTTATTAGGGGAGAGGGTACTTTCAGGCTCTGGACCCATTTGGAAAGTGTGTCCCTTCCCATTTCCACAATATTATGGCCTGCTCCTTTGAGATTCTGACCACTCACTCAATCCAGCAGTCACTGCTCAGGAATTATACAGATCTTCACCTCAACTCATCGATTCTTCCAGTGGCATTTGGCTTGCTGGAAGGATTTCCCTTCCCAATGGCATTTCAGGCCATCCAGAAGTAGGGATATAACTCCCACCATCCCCTTCTTGGTAGTACTGACATCTGTTGGCATTACCTGAAAGCTCTAAATTTTTGCATTGTTTTTAAAATGTCTCAAGGAACTTCCTCATGGAGTTATAGGTCAGTAAGATAGTGTATGTGGTAGTCAGTTTTTGTTTCCTAGATATATTCAATTGTCTCCTGTAAGTATATGGTAGGACTGCATTTCCTGGCCTCCTATTGGTTGAGGGAAAATAACCAAGAGAAATCACACGTGCCTCTTCTTTGAGACAGAATATTTCATTGTTGTTATGAGACACTCCAGATACACCTTTTCTCTGGACTATGATTGCAATCATTTCATTCCAATGGTGGTTGCCTCATCAGCCTGGCCCCCAAGAAACTGTGCTGATCTTTGTCCCTCTTCCCAGCCCATGCCTGATAACTCTCAGTAAAATATAATGTTGAGTAAGTGAGATTTAAATCTTTGTTATTTTAAGATTTCCGGAGCTGTTTGTCACTGAAGCATAATCTAACTTGGGCAACACAGAGGCTAAGATAGTCATGGTCTCAGAATGGCACATGATTGATTAATCACATTTAGACCTTTCACTTCACTGGTACTGACTACCCACTTGCAGAACTGCCCATTAGGAGAGCCAAAGCTGCTTGGTTTTTAGTCATCCCCTGGGCCATGTCATGCTAGGAGTTTTTCATCCCCAAGGACAACTGAGCTCTGTCCACAGTATTCTTGGCCCAGCAAGGACTATTGGTAAAGGAATTTTAAAAGAGTTCCCTTAGCATCTATTCCTCAAGGCAGGAGAGATAGAAGAGCCTTTTAGGTCTTTTCAGTGGAAATAGCAAAAGGATGGGCCTTTGAATTCCATTCTCCACATTTCTGAAGAGCTTTCTGGCCTTTTTGGTGTTACCCAGCATGGGCTGGTTGTTAGCAGAAAATCTTATTAATATGAGCATCAAATTGTTGGACTCCAGCTGAGTGTCCAAGCAGGTATAGTGCTGATGGGTTTGCCCATAACAATAGATTCTGGCTCATTTAAGGTTAGTCCACCCTCATTATTTAAACAGTCTCAAAATGTATGCTTCCTCCATCTTTTCCCAGACAGCGGACCTGGTTTCCAGGCATAGTTTTCACTCCTGCACTTCACCTATTCATTTCACCCTCCAGGCCATGCTAAGTTCAAATATTATTCATTTAAAGAGCAGCAATGAGATGTAGGCATTGGAGAGGCAGGAGGTCATATTTCAGAGGGGCTGGAGAGAAAGTGTACTGGTGTCTTCCAGCATTCACAAATTTCCCCATCCTGGCGTCACAAGCCCTACAACCCATGTCCTAGGTTAATTAGGTTGTATATTACTTAGTGTTGGCCTTTCCAAAACAGGGAGACTTGATCCCTGAAATTTCTTAAGCAATGTCAAGCTAATAGCCACAATCAGTGAGAAATTATTTCCTTTAAGGAGAGATTTTTTTATGTTAGTCACATGCTCTATGCTATCAAATGCTCTCAGAAGGATGCACCATCTCCATGTCTCTTCTACTTTTTTGGTCTATGGCAGCAGCTGCTAGTCCTGGACACTGTACCCTCATTGATCTTGTATCTTGTCAGGTGAGCACAGTAGGTAACTGGATTAGCTCTTCCTTCCCTGTACGTATACATTCCATTTGGGGCAGGACCAATTCCACATACCCTGAGGGCCTGCTGCCTGCAACTAATTTCTGGAACCAATTTCTGTATCAGCTAAGATTTTTCTGCAACAACAGAAACCATATCTGATTGACTTTAGATAGGGGAAAAATAAGAAAATCCAGGATGGGGAGGGGGTCCTGTGTGTAATTAATCAGAAGGCATCTGAAGTAGCTCACAGAATTGAAGGATGAGAAGCTGGCCTTGGAACTCTATGTATCTCAGCCATAGCAAGAACAAGGAGACCTTCTAAGATGACACAAGTCAATCTTTCCTCTTCCTTTCCCCACATCTTGTAGCACCTAGGATAGGATATGTAATCAGTCCAGTGCTGAGAGAACCAGGTGTCCAGTGCTGAGAGGAGTCAGGGTCTGTTACCAGCAGAAGAGAAAAAAAGAACATCTATGTAGGAGAGCCTAATCCACTTCACTTAGTTCAAGGCCACATGGCCCCTTTTCACCTAATCATATGTCTTCTCATCAAGCTTGTGATAGGGCAGAGTGAGGAACAAAGCTATCTGGTAACAAATAGGTCCTTCCGGAAGTTTATATCTTTCTGATGCTAGAAACAGGGTCTCCTGGGACATGAGTCCTGGTGTCTTCAGAAGGAAGGCCTCTGAACTTCTATCCAGGTTCATCTGCCTCACCTACAGAGCAGGTTCCCGGGCATTGCAGGAGCTGTGGAAAGAAACAGATATTCCCTTGGGTGCAAGATAGAGACTCAGGCTCTCTTCCCTCCATCCATCCCAAGTGATTTTAAGAAAAATACCCTTCTCTATTCCCATTTGACAGAATTAACATAACTCTGGATA